GATTCTCCAAAATAAATCATCCAGGAACTGTCCAGTCAGGTCATTATGTCAGCTAATACATCAGCCGTAACTTCACGACTAACAGAGGTGTTAACAGTGTTAGTTCATCCTAACACTTCCTCATTTTAATAAGTCATCAGTTTGGGGTCCACTTGAATATACTTAGCAGGTCTGCGTAACCACTGCAATCATAGTAGTACCTGCAGTTGTGCTACACCTGGTTTTTCTGTTGTTTTTCTACGCAGGATATTCATGTGTAAACTTTTTTGAGACTTGTTGCTAGTTTCATCAAAACCTCGTTTCCTGATGGGATTTATATATCTTGACCACATCAGTCTTCTGACGTTCACCTTGTATGTCACTGTGCTTGTTTTTTATTCTAACACTCCTTTTGTCCATCTAGGTGAAGCAGTTCGAAAATCACAGAGCCACACGGATTCACCGACGGAGAAATTTCTGGGTTTGCCCCATGAAGTTTATTGTATCTTCCTTCCATCTTATTTTTTGATTTTTCTTTTTAAATCTTGGACCTAAATCATCCAACAAAATACTGATTTTACATCTGAAAATAAGTTCAACAGGTGACAGTCCGTTGATAGTTGATGAATTCGGTGTTGATTGATGATCCAAAAGGAACGTCTGAAGTACCTGTCTTAACATCCCTTCATTTCTTCCTTTTAGAATGATTAGTCGGAGTGTATCAGCAAACAATCCTGTCTGACCGTTTAACTGTGGATGACACAGTGGATATCATACATGCTGAATGCTATTTTCCTGGCAGTAATTATGGATCTGATTTGATTTAAACTGTGTTCCATTATCGGTTACAATTATATCAGTTAATCCGAAAAGACAGAATAAGTCTCTAAGTTTTTGAATCACATCTGTCTCAGAAACATTCTCTATATTGAAGTCTTCTGGCCATTTTGAAAATGTATCAGTTACTACCAGGAAATGCTTCACTTGAAATGGGCCCGTGAAATCAGTATGAACTCTTCAGCGTGCACGTTATGGGATAGACCATGACTGTATTTCTGCTTTCACTGGTGGCTTAGCAGCTTCTCCACACCTACTAGAACTCCGGGCTATACGTTCCAATCCACTATCTAAACTAGACCAGTACACATAGATTCGTACAACTGCCATCATTCTGTTGATCCCTTGGTAAGATGAGTGTAGCTGACGCAGAACGGCACCCCTCATCACTTGAGGGACCAATAGACGACCACCAAACACTAAGCAGTTATCAACCACTTAAACGGGATTTGGTCTTTACTTTGACTGGAAACTAGTTAGCAACCAGTTAATGTGCTTAGTCCTTTGTTTGCTGCAGACTGATTCCTATAAATCAAGTCTTTAGTGCGGCCACCATGCACATATGCTTTGCTGACGAGCGCCAACTAGCACGAAGTCCAGGTCCGAGGCTTCTTGCCTATTGCCTCCAATCATCTAATACTAATTTCGTCTTCGATAAAAATGCTTCACTTGTGGACAGGTGAGTTGTGATGGCCAACCGCAGTGGGGGAATCTCATTACGTAACTTATCATAGGATCACGACAACTAGCTTCTTTCACGCTTGCGGCTTATAAGGCTACAGAAATGATAACATTTATTAAAACTCCTTTCACACCAGTTTCAACAGAAATTGCGGCCACCACCATGTCTTCATTTTCCATCCTATGGCTTTCTAGAAGGCGCAACAAAGGTATTGACCTGACCAAAGTTATGTGTAGACTTGTGCTCTATTTTGGAATTATAACCCAAAAGGATAACTGCTCGTGGCTGAAGCCGATTTGCCGCGTAAACTAGAATTCTCTTGTTAAAACCGATAAGTAGTGTAAAACTGAGTCCATATAGCATTTTATGAAACGTTTCTACTGCAAATACCAATTCAAGACCCACATTTTCGATTTGAATATAGTTCCATTCAGACTTTCCCAGTGTTCTTGAAGCATGTGCAACTGGTTTTCCTATACCACTCGGCAACATGTGTGAGATAACTGCACTGATACCATAATTAGATGCATCAGCTCCAACGATTATTTTCAACTTAGGCTTATAGTGTACTAGGAGTAAACCGGAAGTTAATATTTCCTTGACTTTTTCGTATGCATGTTGACAACCACTTGACCGATTCCACTTGGCACCCTGTTTCCACAGTTTGTTAGACAGTTTTCTTAAGTGATACATTTCTAGGGAAAAAGAGCTGTAGAAGCTGATTGGTCCTAAAAAGGAACGTAGCATATTGATGTTGTGGGGAGTAGACGTCTTTTGAATGACTAAAATGTTTTATGAGTCTGATCAACGACCATCATTATCCACCACAGAACCAAGATATTTCATAGAAGAGATGAAGAACCCACATCTGTCCTCACGTAAGTAGAGACCGAACGCTGATAGTGTGTGGTATAGACGACTAAAAAGCTCTTCACGAGTTATTCCAGATTTCATCACATCATCTAAGTGCTCTCTTACACCTGGAATTCCATAATGTAAGATGTCCATAATTTGTTGGAAAATGACTTTGTGTCTTCACATCAAATGGCAATCTCTGATACTGATACAATCCCCTATCAGTGTGATGGTCGAGTTCCTTCGATAAATCATACACTTCTACTTATAAATAAGCATCGGTGAAATCTAGCTTTGCAAAATGTCATCTGGTATTGGAAGTAGATATGGATGATCTTTCAAAGGACTACTCAGACCAACATAGAAATCTGCAAAGATACGTACAGCTCCACTTGCTTTCTTTACAACAGAACATGTGACAGTAGAGAAAAGTTTGATTTCGACTAATCATTTTTGAGATTTTTACAACAGCACAAAGTTATCAGAATTTGATTGGTTCTGTGAGTTCTTTGTCAAATATTATTACGACTGTATAGCTGCTGAAAATGATTTGTTGAAAAGAAATTTTTCCTCTCTGTAATGTCTTCTTCTGCTTATAAGTTAGGAACCGCTGACCACTTCTACTGATTTTCTGTCATTTCAAGTTAGCAATGGAAATTAGGCTGACCGACCTAAGCATCCGGCTTTCAACCATAAAGTCTCGACCTCGAACCCCACCCTACCTCCTTCAACCGAGTCAGCTTGATAGTATCATCAAACCTTACACAACCACTATGTGGCTGATATCCTGGTACATGGAAGATGATTTCTAGATAACTAAGCTCAATTAATTAGTTTCTTGAGATATTTATTAAATAAAGTATCTACTCAAACCGTTTACTATAACACTTTTGAAATTCGTTGTTAAAGTACTTCTATGGTGAAACGATTTTTAGTGTCTGTTATGAGCGTATTTGACGGGAGATATTGAAATGATTACCTCATAGTATTATATTTCTGAGCAAATGTTCTGTCTGACCTACCGTATTAAGAAGTTAAGACAATCAGAAATCACTCCACCTCTACTTTTACAGTTTGTTAACTCTTGCATCTTACCTGTTGTACTTCACTTATCCCCCTTAGTCTTTCCTGGGCTACTCGAAAAGGACTATGTCGTATGACGAAGGGTATTAAAAGTTGTCAGTAGGGCAAGTGGTGTGCCAATAAGTCAGCTCGATACTACTGTAGCCGATTGACGACTCAAGAACTCATGTGAGAAATCGTCTAAATCTATACTATCTGACTCTCAACACCTTCTCCTTTCTCAACTCTACTCCTGCATCTCATCTGGTAGGATTACAGGTCAATACAAAAAATTATATGGTCGTATAATCAAGTAAAATAACTCAACAATACCCTATCTGGCCTGCTTTCTATGTGATCGAGATAGTGTTAAGCGTGAAACCAACTGCTTACTATGTCATAATTGGCTCTTTTATCCTCTCCTATTCGTAATATGTGGTGACACTGTTTCAACTGACTTCTAATCTTAGCTATTAACATTATTATAATTATTTTATGCTTCTTGTACATTTTTGACTTTATTGTCACTTCTAAATACCAAAAAGTTGGCATTATCAGTTCTGATTACGTTTTTGTTGTTTTTGTTGTAGAGTAAATTAGATGCAATATTACACTAAATGCTGAGAATTACACATTGTATCATTAGCATTGGTTTGGAATAAAATAAATTATTATTGCGTCGTACTACGTAGCTGCATTATTAAAAATTTCACAGGTTACTGTGAACTTTGAAATGAAATTAAATGTCGTAGTCTGTCAACCAGTGTCTATTCCTAACTACTGTCCAATAAAATGGTACTGTTTAATATAGGCTAGAGGAATAAATTTATTTGAATAAAGCAAGAACAACAGTTTGTGCAGAATAAAATGGTACCGTCATTGTCTATTTCGTTGGCTTCTCATCAGTTGCTTACAGCTCAAAGACATTATTAATGTGATGAGATTTTCAGCTCTTGGAGCTGTGTAAACTACAAATTATGGATTGATGTTCAGACTGCAAATTTGGTTATTCGGCTGCATTTGTTTTTCTTGCTTCCTCTGAAGAAATGGTTCTGGATAAGTCTCTTTACCTTTTTAGAAAACACCTGGATTTTATGACTTCTTGGCCCCAGATCATTGCATTCGTTGATCCTGGCAAAACTAACGTGAGATTTAAAATCAAAGAAGGCTTATTTTCCACATTTTTAGGTGTGTAAATTACCAAGAAACCAGTTCCTTTCTTGTTACAACTCAGGCTTCTCTTAGACTCACTTGTCTGTCTCCTTATAGTCTATATAGACAGATCTAGACACAATCTTTTCGTATTTACAATGTCTTTTGTAATACTAAACTTGTGGGTTGATTGTCTACTTTACCAAGCGATTAGGAGACTGTCGTTACCTATTTGGTCTTTATGATTTTCGTAATAATCATAATTACTTTAAATTCACTTCTGTTTTGATGTTAACACATTTGAAGAATTTATTGTATGCTATGAGTTAATTCAAGCTACATACAACTCTTTAAGTAGTAACAGTAATTTGGAAAATGAAAAAAGGAACACAGAAAATGCTGTGATCTGATTGGTTGAAAATATCTTTTGTCTATCTATCAATCTATTGGTGCACATAGATATCATCTATTCAGCATACATCTAATTTATGTATCCACTAGTTAATACACAAACGCAGAAATAGATATGCTTACTGAACAGCAAATACTTTATCAATGGAATCTGTAGAAGCCGATGAAGAATCACTCGATTACTATCATTATTATTATGATTATTATTTCAGTAATACTAGTAAAACAAACTATCCACATGACTCTATTGTCTGGATGTATGCAGCTCCAATTCTTATCGTAATCGGAGTCACTGAAAATATTCTATCACTAATTATACTATTACGTAAACATTTTAAAAACTTGCCAAGTCGTTTCACTCTAATGACATTAGCTATTATTGATAGTTTAGTATTATTTTTTGGTTTAATACGTTATTGGATAAATGGTGTCTTCGAAACACATCCGAATGAATGGAGTGAATTATGGTGTAAGCTAATGTCTATGATTGTTTTCACACTATCACATTTAAGTTCATGTCTTGTAGCCTTGTTAAGTGTTGAAAGATTCTTTGCTGTTTATTTACCGTATCACAAATTTATACCATCTATTGATTGCGCTGGTAGTATATTATTGATTATACTCTGTACATGTATTAATTTAATACATTTAAAGTATACAACACTTGAAGTGAATCAAATATTTCAAAATATAAATTTAACATTGCCTGAACCTGGTCTACAAGCTAAACTGCATACCTATATCTGTGTTAATCCAAGTACAAAGATTGCAATCCTTGTTGATGTATTTGATGTACTTATATTATTTGGACTGCCATTTCTTATCATATTAATGTGTAATTCATATGTTATATGGAAGTTAAAAAAACATTCAAAAAAATTAAAACAAAGTGTAAATTATTCAAAAACTATTCATCCAATAGTCAGTGATAACTCGTTATCTATTTTAGATGGTGACAATGGACGGCATAGGTCATATTCAATGATACCACTTCGAAGTAATTACAGAACAAATTCAAACCCTGAAAATCCAACAACAATATTCAGTACACTGAAAAGTTGTCAAAAAGAATCTACAGGCATAGCGAATGTCATGTCTTATGCAACAAAACGTCATCTACGTATTACAAAAATGTTGTTAATTGTAACATTCGCCTTTTTGATTTGCAATCTACCATTTGCTATTATACATGTTATTCGAACAGCGGATGAGACACGTCGATCATATTCATGGAATAAAGCATGGCTGATATCATACTTATTAGTATATATAAATAATTGTATGAATTTTCCAATATATATTATATCACAGCCACCATTTCGTTCAGAATTAAAGGAAATGTTTTATCGTTATAGTAAAAGAGAAACTATGACTCAGCATCATGCAACTTCACCTGTGATTGGCTAGTATACAAACATATAAATATTTTAGGAATAGAAGCCTTATCTTTTCCTATATGAAAAAATTTTACAGAAATACAATGTGAGTATATTTGCATTCACTTCTTTTGTTGTTTTGAGTTTGTTGCGAAGATCATGCCTTCGAAATTGACAGAACTGTATTGAGTGAATGTCTGAAGTGAGAACCGAAACTTGGATTATGGTAAGATTTTATATTAGCAGTCTTAGAGGTTACTAGTCTATCACTTTCGCTAGTCAGCCTACCAGCTTGATGTGTTAACGATCCTAACCACATAGGTATTTTTCTACCTCTTATGTGAATGGCTGGGGTTTATCTGAATAAGAACTGTGTCAGTAGTATTCATGCTTGATTCATCTGCAGCAGGACTTATTTCTTTAAGAAGTCAAGTCGAATGTTACTACTCAGCAGATTTTAGAGTAACATAATCTTTTAAGTAATAATAATACTAACTAGTGAATTATAATTATCCAACAAAAATGTTAACCTTCTCCATTTGAGCTTTCACGCAAAAGGAGTTCATCATTCTACGTTACTTACCAACTTCATCTAGGAAACCGTTGGAAACCCTGGTGTGCTGGGCAGTTTTTTCGTCCTAATTTGAAGATTTCACATTACTGTGCCGCCAAGGCTACCGGTTTTTGAACCTAGAACCTTACAAGGTAAGCCCGTTGGTAATTCATCTAATACTCACTAGTATTATGGATGAAGTTGCGTGGAGTTCTAGTGAAAAGTCTTGACCAGTGGTGTTCACCAGGTCAAGTGTGAGGAGAAATACTTTCTGATTATATTGGCAACTGTTAGCGGTATACATCATGGACCATTGAATTCCGCAGACTTGTAGGTCTTCGGTTCGGTCCCTGGTGGGATTATGGTCACATATTATTGAAGAGTGCCAAAGTGAAACAAGAAAGCTGTTCAATTCTCCTTGGTATCCAGTGATTCTCTTATTGATATCAGTTTGTAATCTAACTCGAAATCAACTAAATCTCCACAAACTAATAAATGAAAATCCGTTTGTTAAATCATTTACGTGGCACAACTATAATTTATCGTCTGAATGAACGCATTTGGATCGACACTTCACTGAAATAAAGTTATTTACCATAGAATTAGTCAGATGAAGTGGAAAATTGAATCAAACTCTATGGTTCTGGGTTATGTTGTTGAGGTGTCTATTCTACTGGGAAGACATAAGGTGTTATACAAGAGCTGTTTGACTATTCCATCGCGTGTTAATACTATAATTTAAATAACTATTTACTAAATAAAGTCTGAGATGAAGATAATTCATTTTAAGAGGTTGGTATGAGTCACTTCGTTCATAATGTAATAAAACTATCCAGAGTATTCTGAAGTTCTTATCGCTTTTCGAATATATGGTGCACACCTAGAAATAACAAAAAAAGAGGAGGTATTTTAAGATCTTTAATGCCAAATAAATTGAATCCTTTCTATTCTACAACGTTCAACACGCATCTTCTTGGAGAATCTTACCAGAGAAATTATTTACTAATTAGTTTGTTGATATGTCTTCCATAGCGCCAAGTAATGCTGAGTATTTTATGTTGAGTACAAATTTACACATACTGCCTTTCTTGTCAATGCATAAATCGGAACTGGAAAGTGATAATTCACGTTTACATTTGTTCAGCATATTAGAAGGTTTGCTATTTTACCACGATTGTTAAGATGGATCAACCTTCTGAAGAATGTGAGATTCCTTTGAATAGACACTAGATTATTTTTACTTAGAAAAATCAGAAACATCTTACTAAGTTACTGATTAGATTTATGAGCATTTATCGACATTTACAACTAGAAACTGGGAAGCGAAGGATTTACATCATGCAAATAACATTAGCTGTATATTCGTCGAAAACCAGCTGGTACTGAACAGATTTTTTATTAAATATTGAGTTTTTTAAGTAGGAATTACCTAAGATGTCTAACAGGTTGAAGTTGATGACTTAAATTCCCATCGTCAGCAACCAACTATTTCATAACTACCTTTTAATCCAGAAATTTGAAATTTGTTTTAGTTAATAATACATTTTATGTGTAGTCTACTATCTCTGGCTTATTTCTCATTTCAAATAACTTTGTAGATCACCGTTTCCTGTTGGATTATTCTGTTTTGAACAATTTCCGTATATTAATGCAGGATAAAACTTGAGATTAAATACTTCACCTATCTTACTGTATTGTTGTACACAGAATATATGATTATGGTTTGCCTGATATGGAATGCCTTATATAATGAAATCTATTAAAGACTGCTGGTTCTTACACACACTTGTATTCAACACATGTTGCACACTTAAGAGATAAAAATTCTGTTGGTAGAATATTCGTTTTGTTTTCATCGCTACGTTTAAGAAATTTATACAATAATTAGTGTCTTTATTTTTGAATGAAACATAATTTGAGAAATTATAATTTCAAGTTTGACCACGAATTGATATCATTTAGAAAACCGTTGAAAACCAGGGAATACTGGACGGCTGTTTCATCCAAGTTTGGGAATTGTTGGCAGTACCCATTCACCGCCAAGGTTTGAACCCAGGACCTTCCGGTTACAAGGCAAAGCTCGTATATCATTCAATCACTGGGACCCGGTGCAATGGCCCATGAATTCTAAATTCTACCAACCACCAGCGCTTCCTGGTTTTTAACGGTTCTCTAACCGATATAAATCCGTGGGCAAACTAGTATAAACATATTTAATCCTTTCAAACGAAACTCTTGAAAATTATAATTTCATTCTTAGTGTAAAACATAATGGGGGGTTTTGTGTCTTATTATGAACTACCTTGTCAGGAAAGTTCTTCTAACTTTTTGTAGATTATTTTTGAGCATTAGGGTATGTATATTGGATAGGTTTTTTGAAGAAGTCAATGGTATTTTTCCTTTTTAAACTTTCTGAGATGCGGGAAATTAAAATGAAGAAAATTCTCACCTAAACTTCCTACCAATTTGTGCTGTTATATATTTTGAGCTTGCTTTTTTGGCGTGAAATTTAAAGGGATCTTTTAGACTGCATCTTTAGTGCTAAATTCTTCAATAAGAGTTTCAGCATTAAAATATCCAGCTCAGAGGACACGATAGCTTCTAAAACAAGCTATAACACATAGGTTATTTTAGACGAATCCCACCATAACATTTGGATGTACCTTATTTCTGCTTTAAGATGCGTCAGAAAGTACTAAGAAAAGACTCAAAAAAAGGGAAAACTGAACAAAGAGAATTTTTCCGATAACTTTCTCATCTTCCTACAGTTTTAAGTATACATTATTGAAAGAGCAATTGTTAATGACAACATTAATAGTTTTTACATAATACCGATTTGCTAAAATAAAGAGAATCACGGTTCAAAATTCAAAACTAAATTGAATATGAGATAAAATTAGGGAGACAATTTAAGCGATAATTAAATGTAGTAAAAGCAATGACAGCTTCCAGGAACACCAACATATAATCTATCTAAAGAACTTTTCAGGAAGTTAAATTACCTAACAGAATCATGCGACCATTCTATCAATTCGTCAATCCAATTTTTAGAGAAAATCAAAAACATTCTGGTAGAAGACAATGAAATAATGGTGTCCTTTGATGTCACAGCATTATATACTTCAATTAGTCCAAAACTAGCAACAGAAACTATGCAACAATTACTCTATAGTGATGAAAACATAAAAACGCAATGTTCAACTTGGAAAGAACTCATAAAATTATGCCTTACAACATAGTTCCAATTTAATACTCAAATATATGAGCAAATAAAGGGAACTCCATTGGGATCACCCATATCAGGATTAATAGCTGAAGCCGTTATGCAAAGATTAGAATTAATAGCTCTACCTATAATTGAACCGAAAATCTGGGTACGTTACGTTGATGATACATTTGTAATAATTAAGAGAAATGATTTAGAATATACCCATAAATTAATAAACAACATATTTGAAGACATCAAATTCACAAGAGAAGAAGAATTAGATAACAAAATCCCATTTTTAGATGTCTCAATCAGGAGAACCAACACAGGAAATTTAGAAACACAAGTATATAGAAAGTCAACGCACACAGATCAAATACTCAACTATACTAGCAACAATCCAATTACTCACAAAAGAAACTGTGTGCAGACATTGTTTAGAAGAATTCAAACACATTGTGGCACACCAGAGTTTAAAAGAATAGAAGTAAAATACTTACAAACGGTGTTCAAGAAGAATGGTTATCCAAAAAATTTCATCAAAAAGTGTTTAAAATCGAATGAAAGCACCAACAAAGAACCATCACCAAAGACCAAAAAGAAATTCATACTACCATACATCAGAAACATCTCTGAAATAACGTCTAGAATAATGAAACCGTTTGATATAGATGTAGCGCACAAACCAGCTGAATCGCTTAATTCGATCTTAGGCAAACCAAAAGATCCGATAGAAAAGGGAGATAAAATTAACACCATTTACAAAATAAATTTTATGAACTGTAACAAACATTACATCGGCCAAAGTGGGCGTCCCCTTCGAATAAGAATCCAGGAACACAAATCAGCCGTGAAAAGATATAATATAAATCCTTTAGTATCAATGCATACAGACGATTATGGACATCAGTTTGATTGGGATAATGTCAAAATCTTAAACAGAGGAAACACCAAATGTGCCAGGGAATTCCTAGAAGCCTGGTACTCAAATGAAAACGCAACTAATAAACACGTTAATATAGATGAAATATACCAACTAATAAAAAGTAAATCAGGTGATCAGAAAGTTTAAAATCTCAACCAATAGAAAACGGTCAATACATATCTAAAGATGGTTACCGGGAGACTCATGAAGAAATTTAAATCATTTTACTTTATCCTAAATACTGCGCTGAAGATCCCGTCCAGAAAGACGATGAAAGCTCCGCAATTAAACCAAGGAGCTCAGAGAACACTATCAATTGCAAAAGCTTGTGTAAGGATTAAGGGAAAGGCGAAATTGTCAGATTTTGCGAT